CGCTGGCCCCGGCGCCCATCCTCGGCCCCGTGGCTCTGAGGCTCACCCGCTCCTTGGAGGTCAACACCAGGATGGGCAGCGAGCTCCAGCCCCGCGTTGCCTCCAGCGCGAGCCTCCCTGTGCCGGCTGCCACGCCACCAATGTGGGCCAAGGACGGAGCCAAGGTCCCCAGGGGCCGCCTGGCAGGTGCTGCTCTCAGCACCCGGGGCTTAAGCGAGGCACTCCCCCTCGCCCTCCCCAGATAAAGCCCCTTCAATCTGCAGCAGGCTGAGCTCAGCAATCCTGGGCTCCTGGTGTCAGCGCTTCTGCCCACAGGGGCCCCCTGCTTTGACCCCACCCTGGGGCTGGGGCAGTGATCCAGCCACCCCTGGGTATATGGGACCCACTCCCAGCTCCAGCTCTGCCTGTGGAACCCAGGAGGTTGGAGCTGGGGGCATCCGATGGTGACTGGCAGTGGGTGGAAAGGTTCCCATTGACCCAGCTCACACTGGTCACCCCCTAGTGCTGGTCCAGTGCCCACAGCTCCCCACAGTAACCCATCCTAGTGTCCCCAGGGGCACACACCAGTGATTGGATGCCAGCCCCACTCACCCTACCCTGGGTCCCCAGAGCTCCTTACAAGACTCCACCAATGTCCCCAACCCTCCTGTGTGCACTCCTTAGTGTCCCCAGCCACCCACCAGTACACTCCCAGAACCACGAGGCCAGCAGTGTCATCTCCTGAATGTCCCCAGGTACAATATCCTCAGGGAGGCCCGAATACCCTTCCCAGGGTCTCCAAGCTTCTCCTGAGTAACACTGCTCAGTACCTAAAGGAGAAATCACAGTGTCGTCCCAGTGTCCTCAAGCAATCCCAGTCGTCCCCCTCAGTGTCCTCAGGACATACACACACACCCCAAAGCCTGCCCCATGTCCAGAGGCACCCCAGTGCCACCTCCATGCTCCCACACCAACCAAGGTGACCACCCCAATGTTGCCAGTGCCCATTCCAGGTGTCTTTATGCCACCAGTTCCTCTCTCCCACATCCCCAGCGCCCACCATTGCCACTGTGGGCATCCCAGTAAGACTCAGCGTCCCCAGGGACACCCCAGTAACCTCCCAGTGTCCCCAGACCCTCCCAGGACTCACCCAGGGTCCCCAGTACAGCCCAGTGCCCCCTTGTGCCGACACCCGCCCCGTCCCCAATACCCCCATTGCAGCTGCAACACCTCAATTGGCCGCCAGAGGGAGAAAGGACTCAGCCCAGTGCCCCCCGTACAGCCCTGCACCCCTCAGTGTGCCCAGTACTGCCACCAGTACAGCCCTGCACCCTAGAGCCCATTACCAGTCCCACGCTCCATGCTCCCAGTACCACCAAGTACTGACTCCAAGTACCAAATCCTAATGCCTCAGTACTTCTCCTGGTGCTTCTAGTACCAACCTCCAGTGTCCCCAGTACTACCTCCAATATAGCTCAGGAGTCAGGCACCACCCCCATTGCCCCCTGTACCAACCAAAACGTTCCCAGTACAGCCCAGTATCACTCACTACCACTCCCAGTACCCCCTGTACAGTGTCCCACTGCCCCATGCCCCTACTACCACCAAGTAGCAGCTCCCAGTACCAAATCCTAGTGCTCCACTACTTCCCCAGTGCTTCCAGTACTGACTTGAGTGCTCCTAGTGCCTTCAGTAACACCCAGCACTGGCCCAGCATACCCCTGACACCCAGGCAGTACCACCCAGTACTGCCACCTCCCCATGCCCCTCAGCACCCAGTGATCCCAGTGCTCCCCCCGCTCCTACCTGGCCTCAGCCCAGTGCTCTGCACACACCACCCACCCCCCGCAGGGCTCAGGGGCAGCGTTAAGGGATAATGGGTTGGGGTCAGCAGCAGCATCCCAACAGAGCACACAAGGCCCCGCTTCTGTCCCAAAGCCAGCGTTTATTTGGGGGACACTCACTCAGCCCTGGCCACCCCTGTGCTTCCCATGCACAGCTATTTACAACCCCCCAGCTGCTGGGGTGCCTCAAGGAGCCGGCTGACAGATGGGTGCCCCAAGCACCTGTGGGTGCCAGTGTCAAAGCACCCACATCTGCTCGAGGTCCTACCCTGGCACAGCCCCTTCTTCCCTTCCCCATAAAAAGACCTTCCCCATACAAAGACTGGCTGAGCCCCCACTGTGGCCTGGACTTCTGAGTCCTGTCTCGAGGGTCCTGTCTCCCCACCTCCAAGCCCCTAAGGAGGGGGATGAGGCCACACACCCTGCCCTAAATCCCCCTTCTCCTAGGCTTGGCTGGTGGGCTGCAGCTTCCCCAGGGAAAGCACTTGCTCCTCAATAACCAGGTAGGGAAACTGAGGCACGAAGCTGCAAGGGTTGTGCCCAGCTTGCACGGGGCAGACCTTGTCCAATACTCCCTCTCCCCTGCCTCACCACCCCCTAGATGGGGCTTGCCCCCCACTCCCCAGGGC